AGAGAGAGAGAGAGAGATAGATATGCATTTTCTTATGCATAAGCATATATATTTTTTATTTATTTTAATTATATTCCATCATGTATGTGTATAGGCGTGTGTAAGGTGTCTGGTTGAAAAAAGTCTCTGAAAATCTTAGTAAATGACTAAACATTTTTGTAGTGCTCCTTGATCGAAGCGAAAACTTTTTGTACGTCATCGTGTGTATGTGTATGTGTGTTTGTGTGTGAGTGTGTGCTTGTGTGTGTGTGTGTTTCCGTGTGTACCCTAAAGCATTTCTTGTTTATTTTGTCATTCGTCTTCGGCTTTGGTGCTGGCATGTGGTTCAAACGCTGAAGTGAGACCACAACGAATTTGTTTTTGTGAAACGGGAGTGGCTGATAAACGGTAGGTGTCGACAACAGTTGCGCGCTTGTAAAAAGGGCGTCAGTGTGGTCCAGAGACCAACGGAAGACAAAGGCGTGTTTAGATGGTTAGATAGGGGAATAGACTTAGGGCGAACCAGAGTACTGAGGTATGGGTAGAGGGAAATTCGTGGTTTGGGGAGTTTAAAGTGTAGACATCGGTCGCATTCAGGGTCGAGATGAAGAAAGGTTGCAGGCTTCAGAAAAGATAGCTTTGTTTGTTTTTCCTTTCTAGCTTGGTTCGTACTTATGAATGTTTGGTATTTGGTCAACTTGTTTGATTATCAACTCAAGGAAAGAAAAGAAGTGTTACGCTTGGGGTAAAAGTTTTTTCATAATAATATTAATAATTTTCCTTACAGGATAATATTATTGGGATTTTCAGATTTAAACGGATTATCTTATTCAGCCTAGTGGACTAGATTAATTATTGTAAAAACACAAAAAGGTCACTTATATTTACAATCAGAATGAAAGTGTTTAATTTCCGGGATGTGTAACTAAGTCTTGAAAATGTTGACACTCATGAGTCATATCGCAAGCAAGATGGACAGAACGAAACTTATCCTTTCTAATTTAATAAATTTGCATAAATGGATAGCAGAACTGGAAGTAAGAAGTATAGTAAAAAGACAAATGTTGCTAAGAGTTACAAGGGATAGGATGCTGTGGAGGGCATTCGATAGATAGAAGAAGTTGATCGTGTTCTTAAAGAAGGACAGAAAGTGATGTAAAAAACTGAGATAGATATCTATGAATTGCAAGAGATCTAAAGACGTTTTTGAATCTAAATGGGGCAGTTGTGCCCATCGTCGTATGGCTTCCATCAGCCGAAGAAAACTAAAATAATTCAGTTCTCTGGAAGAACTTGAAACCTGAGGAATTTCGAAATCATTGTGACATTGTTTACATTTTCAACTACCTACACTGCAAACATCAAACTCCCACAACCTTTTTATTTTCAGTCAGCCTCGTTCTGGTCATTATAACATATGTGCACCAAGTGGGGTCATGAGTTAGGCAAATAAATACCTAAAAAAATAAAAATAAGAAATTAGATGCTACACCGTATCTTAAGTTATTTCAAACAATAGGACTACTAAAGCCTGCCAGAAATTTAAGGGTATTTATGTACTCTGGAGGAGACTTGCTGACACTTGATCTCAATTGTAAGCTAACAATGAGTGTTATGGGGGAAATGAAGATATGAATGTCAACCCCAAAATCAGTGAATTAATAATTTAACCTAGAAAGAGTCCAAGAGTAGACATGAATGGGTAGGTAAGGTAATTCGCTGGGAATTGCGCAAACAATTATATTTTGTCGATACAGACCAATGAGATATACAGAATCTTTAAAAAAAAATGAAACCAAAAAAAAAAAAAAAAAAGAAATACGAATTTTATTTGAATCTATTCATTTCATTTTAAATAAATACCTTTGGGAAAAGATTGAATCCTTCAGCTAGTTATGCCACAATTATCTACGAGAGAACGTGCGTCTCCTAGGAAAACTACTTTGTATAACTTACCTTACCCAGAAATTTGCCACAATTTTGTATTTTTTAAGAAATAGATAATGTTACCTTACCCAGAAAATAGCAATAAATGTTGCATCCTTTTTCAGCGTAAACAGGACGTAATAAAAATAAATCCAGCCAATTCTTCGTTGGTCGCTCTTTGTGACCATTTCTTTCGGCATCGGAATGTTCCAGGTAAATTTTACTTGTTAATTTCCCTCGCTCTTGCTGCTAATCACGGGTTCAAATTTGTGTGACGTATCTCTATCTATAAAAGGCAGGAAGTGTACGTGAGTGTGTAACGATTGCACGGCCACAATTATCGACGGATTTGCACCAAAATTTACATGCACATGCTCCACGTTAACGGGAAGGCCAAGACCGACTTTGCATTTCCCAACTCCCATCGATAGTGGAAATAATAGATTTTTTCATGCTTCTACGGCAGTTTTCATTTAGTTTGCGGCCATTTTCTACTGGCCAGAGTGAGAGCCTATAGCTGGCTGCCGCAAATAGGCAGGAAGATTCTATTGGCCAGCGTGAGAGCCAACAGCTGACTGACACGAATGTTAACTAGCATGCTAGAATTAAAAAAAAAACCGATAGCTGCATTCGTCACAAGTGGGAAAAATTTAAATCTGCATGGCACTTTACTCCAATTGGCTCATTCGCTTGCTTAAACTCAACGTTGATTCTGATTCCGCTGAACTGGGTTGGGTGTGAAAAAGTATTTGTTGTTAACATTCTTTTTTCATTCGGTTTTTCCAGTTACGAGTCCTTTTTTAAAGCTGATCGTTTTGTGTTCATTTTGTTTAGTTCTTTTTTCGTAATAGATTTAATGTTTAGTATAGAGCTTAGAAAAAATTCGCAGTGTGAGATAGACAAGAAGTAAGGCATGTAGCAACATCAGCACGGCAAAGGGCACTCCTTTAAAGGCAAGGAAGGGCAAAAATATTTTAAGTCAAGTGATAGCGATTGCTGTATGAGTCGTATGATTTTTGAATCAAGTACGGGCAACGCCGGGCCATGCTGCTAGTAGACACTAAAACTGAAAATTCAACGGTTATGTATTATTACCCTAGACAGGGTTATTACAGCCACCCGAACAAATATGGCAAATCTGTGAGAGGGAAAATTATACATTTTTTCTGATACTACGATTCTTAAAGTTGTAAATATTCTGACAAAGATGATAAGGATCTGGTTATTGAGATTCCTTTAGAACAGAGATACAAAGATATTTTTTTCAGTAGAGCACTGGTTGCTATCAAGATTAAACCAAGACGACTTCATAACAGAACTAAAAATCTGCAAATGATCGCATTAGTGCGAAGGTGAACGCTACAGACTCCGTCCGAATTTGAACTCGGCTCGCAGATTCCACTCCCGATGCTGATAATTTTTACACTACCTGAACATCCGCATTTTTGTTAAGAAGGAAACAAATATTTAAGATGATAGATAGTGCTATTTTACTTATGAGAATGAAAAAAAAAAGCAAAAAGAACAATAAAAAACTTGGTTAATAATCTGGACGGCGGCGGAGGCGTGAAAGCCCTATGAAAAATGAAGTTGGCATTCGTACCGAACGTCGTTGGAACACTGGGAAAAATCCCGAAATAGTAAGTCCCATAGGCCCGACAAAGTAAAAGTGGCAGCTATTTTCGAAAATGGCTTACAATCAGTTGTCAACTGGGGCAATAAATGGCTTGCTTTCAAAACGAAACTGCTATAACTTATTCATCACCGAGAACGTCTTTTGTCCTGGCTGATGATAACCTCCAATAGTACAATCCATTGTGTCTTCTTGGACTTACGTCTTCACTGTCATTAAGTGGAATGCTTGTTGACCATCTGCCATATATGGTCTGGTGATCTCAAGATTCTCGACAAAATCGAAAGAAGGGTCAACCACTTTGCCAATGCTTGTATGTGACTTTTCTCTCGCTTTTCTATAAATATTTTCATGGCGATTGTTGTAGGGAATTTAATCATAGTACTAGATTGGCTACTACATCTCATCGTTTAAGTGTTGAAACAGATGTAACCATAAGTTCTATTCTAATAGCTTCTTTTCTCGCACTTCTCGCCTGTGGAACTGTCTTCCGGTTTATTGCTTTCTTGTCGTCAACGATCAAGATTTTAATGCAACGTGAATCGCAGTCTTTTACCTCCCTGAATCTTGTTCATTCATCGACCTTTCTCCACATTCTTCACATTCTCTTTCGCTCACTGTAACCGTTTGCGTCTTAGTGGCATTATTGCCTTACTCGAGGTGAAATGATTATAAAAAAAGGAAAACGGAAGTTGGATGATAATCATCCAGACAAACAGCAAGAATTTTTTTTATAAAGTGCGCAGAAGTATTGGGATTTGTTGTCAGTTGTTCTCTTGTTGTCACTGATATGAAGGCTCTGTGAATACAAATAATATCTATGTAGCCATTTTGGACAGATATTGTTATTAGATAAGGGAAACATTTTCTCTAATAAACGAGATAGCCTAAACTGCGGTCTTTTTTTTCTTGGCTATCTTTATTATTTGAACCTTTTCGTCAGGGTCAGTATTTATCAGTGGCAACAGGCAGGACGTGATATATATATATATATATATATATATATATATATATATATATATATATATATATATTTGTTTGAAAGCTTGATACCATGCCCTTTAGGGCTTCCTTTACCGACCCTACCAGCTTCTATCAACCTCGTTTGTTCTCCATATTTCAATGCCCTTATCTGTCTGTTTATTTTCTAGTGTCTGTAGTGTGTCGACCCTTTGGATATTTCCTCTTTTTTTCTAAAGCGAGTTTTAAAGGATGGGCGATTTTTTTTCTTTTATTCTCTTCCTTTTTTTAAAGCGTGGTTTTCTCATTATTTCTCTTTTGCAAATCCACCCACTTTACACACATACATTAACACTTAAGCACAACTATTTACAAACACTGAGGCATGAATCGCTCGCAAACATACGCAAGCCACTACACATGTATTTGTACAGCCGTATACACGTATACACAGCACATTAATATATGCAAGCAAACACATACATTCACACGACTACAAGTTTACAGCCATATTATGTTGAAAAAACTGTTTCCTGTACGATCACCGAAGTTAAGCAACGTTGAACCTGGTCAGTACCTAGATGGGTGACTGCTTGTGACTACCAGGTGCTGTAAGCTTTGATGTGCTGTTGGTGTAGTGGATAATGACTCGGAATTGTTAATCGGAGAGCCGTGCTTTAATCCTGTTGGGAAAGGGTAAAATGCACCCCCCAGGTATCGCTTAATTAGTAAGCCTTGTATCAGTAAATCATTATTATTGTAAAACAATTCATACAGTCTAAAAAAAATTCCGGCTTTAAATAACCTGAAAAGGGTCAATAAAACGTAGAAAACAAAACAATCAACCAATAACATGACTACGCACAAAATCACAGAATCAGATACATACATTACTCTTCTTCTTCTTCTTCTTTGTGTCGTGTCCCTTTAGGACGTGAGTTAACATGGCTCTATACAACTTCCTATACCTTATGGCCCGGACTAGTGTTTGTCAATCCTACTGCCACACATTCATAATTCATTCACACAAGTTATTCAGGTAGGAGGTTCGCTGTCTTCCTCATGATATGCCCTGTGAGGGTTAAGCTTTCCAAGAACTGCTTTCTCATTTTTTGTCCAAAAAATTCATGCTGCCAGTTTCTGATTTTGAATATAAGCATGTTTTTACCATTTTCACTAAGACTTCTTTGTTGCTTACTTGCTCCGCTCATCGAATTCTCCGTATCATTCTGTAGACTCACATTTCTGGTGAGACACGTTTCCTCTCCAACTGTGGTAAGATTGACTCGCATTTACTGCCGACTAAATAAAATAAACAAAATAAACATATTTGAGAAATAAAAACATTTGATCTCACAGGTCTGGTTCTTCTAAGATTTATTTTAAAATTTTTGACAAAATTTAAAGAATAATCTGTAAAGTTATCGGTGCTGACGTGGCATCTCGGCTTCAGTCATTTTACTACCATCGTAATGTGGTCTATGTGTCTTTTCTATAAATGTTTTCAGTGTCTGATGAGCTTTCCTCTTTGGTGTCTCAAATGTATGAATTTAAGCTCAGTTCTAGATTGGAAGCTAGGTCAGGTTATTATAAAGTTCAAATTACTAAATGTAACTATAAGTTCTAGACTACCAGTTCCTTCACTTGCTCTTCTTTCCCGCGGAACTCTCTTCCGGTTACTTGCATTCCTATCAACCTTTGATGTTAAAATGTTTAAATGCAATGCCAATCGTCATTTTCTATCTCTTCGTTTATTTGACCTCTCTCCTTAATAAGCATTCTTTCGCACACAATAAGCTCTTGGATCTTAGTGGCTTTATCGCCATACTTTGGGTAAAAGATTTTTTTTTAAATTAAGAGGATTAATATCACATAGCAATTCAGAATTTTTTTTGTTTCTGACGAAAGGTTCCTTTTTCTTAATACTTTGTTTAACTTTTGCATGACATCTTTCGCTAATCCAATGCGCGTTCGGATTTCTGAGCTGCATTAATACATTCTTGCATTTTTTTTTTTTTGCATTGAAATATAAAATAAATACTGGAATATACAAGTTTATTTGCTGAATAAGGGCGGACATCTATCTGCGCAGTTAGAAAGAAAGCTGGTTCCGTTTGCGCAGATGTAAACAAGCAGTTGCCGTTTTTATGAACGGTCCTGAACTTCGAAGCTTGAAGCATTAATTAAATCGTAAGGCTAATTTGAGAGGACAAACAAAATTGGAAATGTATGCCCGTATGTAATGTACATCCATTCGTCTACACTTAATGTGATTTGATGAACACACAAGCAAGTACATACACAATTTGACTGAGTTTTTTAAAAAAATCAGATAATTATAAGATTTTAGGGGAATGTTCGGAAATTATTCAGTAACAAATAGAATTATTTTAGTTGATACCCATATTTGAGTAGACGCCCCGTTTATTTATTAAACAGTATATTTATTAATCTAAACACGTCGGATACAATGACAGTTTCTCCTGCCAAGTGGATACTCATATTTGAGTAGACGCCCCGTTTATTTATTAAACAGTATATTTATTAATCTAAACACGTCGGATACAATGACAGTTTCTCCTGCCAAGTGGATACTCATATTTGAGTAGACGCCCCGTTTATTTATTAAACAGTATATTTATTAATCTAAACACGTCGGATACAATGACAGTTTCTTCTGCCAAGTGGATACTCATATTTGAGTAGACGCCCCGTTTATTTATTTATTAAACAGTATATTTATTAATCTAAACACGTCGGATACAATGGCAGTTTCTCCTGCCAAGGTGGGTGTGCATTATTTCTATAACAAGATTTCTCAAATATTTGGTAGACAAAAATAAATGAATATAATGTTTAATAAATAAAACGAACGTCTATTCAAATAGGAATAACCACTAAAAATAATGCTTAAGTAATAAAATATAGGATTAAAAAATAAAAATCTATTACTTCTTTAGAAATCGAATTATTTTTTTTTTAAATTTTGTAGAAATATTTTTAGGTCTATCATTGACAGAACATATACAGTAAGAGACAAAATAATATATATATATATATAGACGCATCCATAGAAATGATGATGAACAAAATATAAACCTTATTACATTTGAATTTACATTTATTAACATGCCTAAGCATTGTTCTGACTTAGAGAAAGGCCAAGTGGCCGCTTTTCATCATATTGGGCTGTCGAATAGATCGATAGCTGATAAGATTAATCGAAGTGAGTCATGTGTCCGCAAGTTAATCAAAAAGAGAGATCAAACTGGAACATATAATAGACTTACTGGATCTGGCCGTCTGCTAAAAACTAACGACTGGGAAGACAGAAACTTGGTCCGTCAATGCAAAAAAGATCGGTTTGCAGCAACACAAGATGTTTCCAAAGCTAGTTTTGCAGTTTCTTCAAGAACAGTCAGACGCAGGATTAAAGCAAAAGCCATTGTTTCCAAATACATAAAAAGAAACTTTTCATATCTGGAAAAAAATCGACAGTTACGGTTGGCTTGGATGCAAAGCTCATTTACAATGGACTAAATTTTATAAGGAAGATGTTATATGTAGTACGAAACACTTTTTACTCTTAAATATGAAGGACGAAAACGTGTTTGGTGTACGCCCGGTGAAAGGAATACTCCAGTGACTACCAAGGGCACTGTTAAACACGATAAACAATCAACGTTTGAGGTGCCTTCTCAGCAGCAGGAGTTGGTAATTTGTACAAAATCAAGGGAATCATGGGCCAGCATCAAGACCACACCATTCTTGTTAATCAAATGCGGTTTTCTGCTAAAACACTTTTTGCCCAAGGTCAAGGCGTTCCATTCCAACACGATAACAATTCTAAACATACTGCCTTAAAGAATAAAACTTATCTTGAGAGGAGTAAAATTGCAACTCTTCCAGTGGCCTAGTCAGAGTCCTGACAAGCGTTCCCGTAATAGGAAAGCGAACACAGGAGATAAGCATTTTCGTGAATTAAAAAAAATGCTGTAAAAACCAGGCGAAGGACGTTGACTTACTAAGAATTTAGTCTATAGCATGCCACGAAGAATTAAGGCCGTTATTAATGCAAAAGGTTACCCAAGAAAAAAATTATTTCTGACTTGTACAATGTACATATGTATACCTGTATTAATACCTTGTATTAATTAACGAATTCAATTACTCACTTGTCTTGGTAATAAAGCAAAAATCGACTTTCTATGGTGTGTACATTTTTTGCCTCGTAGTGTACATGAACGTATTCGGAAAAGTGCATACATTATCTGGAAGTAACTGAAATGAACATACATTGCAGGCAATAATTTTCCTTTCTGTCTATCCCACGGTAAACACGATTAATTGAATTGTTTTTAAGGTTTATGAAACACATTGTTCTTTTTTTCGACTGAATGTTGCAATAACAATTGTTGAGAATATCAATGATTTTTCCACAAACAAGTCCTACTATTTAACCCATAGCTGGAGGGTGGAGATGAAATCATACTTTTCCCAACGGTATTTGTGTATGTAACGAACCGAACGACAATTCGAAATCAGTTCACCTATTTCTCATTCCGAATTGCTATTAAACTACACGTCCAGAATTAATATATATATATATATATATATATATATATATATATATATATATATATATATATATATTTGATAATATATTTTTAAATCATTTCACTCCAAGCAAGGCACTAAAGCCACTAAGACATTAAGACAGAAGGGGTTACTGAATGTGAAAGAATAAGAAAAATATTAAGCAATGAAAAGAATAAAAGAAGACGATTGAAGTAGACACAAGTTGGCGATAAAAATTACACTTATATTTTTGAAGATCAAAGTTGTCTGGAAAGCATGATGCCGGAAGAGAGCTCCACAATCGAGAAGTGTGATAGAAGAAACTGTTAACATAGAGCATGTAGCTGCATCTATCCAATTCAACCGTATATTGATGAGAACTTGCCGCCAATCTAGTAATACATCTGGTCTAGGCAGCATAGCGGAAAGTTCATCAGAACATTTACCATGAAAGTATCTATAGGTACATGGAAGTTACATTACAGCTGTGGGAAAGTAACTGGAGCAGAGATGCCAGGTCAGGATCAATAACATTGCGGATTCTTCCTTGTATTTTCTCAATACTCTCTAAATATATAGTAGGAGCATTAGACCACATGTGACAACAATATTCAAAGCATGGACGAATGGTAGATTTATAAATATGTAAAATACATTCTGGAGAGAAAAAATGTCTACCACGACCAACTTCATCAGCACATTAATGAGTGTAGTATTATTTTTTATCACTTAATCTTTGGTGAAAGTCACTGCCTCTGTATTGATTGATCGATCAATTTGTTTTTTTCTTTACGGTTTATCACAAATTTGTGTGTTATTTAAAGCAGAAAGGTTTATGGATTACAAGATAATACCTTTTAGCGATGAACATGGCATCAAGATGCCTTCCGAAAGATAAGCAATGCATTAAGAAACAGGAAAAATTCTTTTGAGACAAGGAAAACAGTACTGATTTCTTATGTAATATATGTTCTTCTATGTAAGAATGAATTCTGGACAAACAGAAGGATGCTGAGAATGCTATGGACAGAAGGTGAT